TTTATTACTATTAATGACTAAATCGACGCTAAGCATAGTATTGGCACTAATTGTCAGAAATACGATAGTAATTGACAAAAATCCCGATAATAAACGATTCGTTGGAAATACGGCCACTTTTGCTGAACCTAGAATTATATAAATTTTTTATGATAAAAAATTATTGACGAAAATGCACTCACTTTTGGAAAATATAAGTTGCATATAATAATGAATATATTTGTTTATTAACTGGAAACTAATATTATTAAGCAACAGCCAGTCTCTTAATAGAAATAATGCAATTGAGAGCAAACATGTGATAAAAAGAAAACTCCAAACGTATGAATCAAATCCTCTTAAGTAATCGAAAGTAGGATTTGTTTTTGTGAAGTGACTCAAAATGCTTATCTTGTCTAACATTAGGGGCACTGAGAAATCCATTATTTCCATGCGTTGGGCATTCATTAGCGGCGGCCCTAACATAATGTCGGCTTCATCTCTCTGTACGATACCACTCATACCTGTCCACGACTTGTTGGCCAATGGAGTCCCGAAATTGAGTTCACTTTTCATTACATTATACGATATATTCCTGTGATTGAAGACTGCCTTCAGTAACTCTCCCATCACTCCCTTCACGACATATCCACCAGAAGTTGACTCTAGTGTTGATAATGGGCTCCACTTTAAGAGAAATTTTTTTATTAATTTAGATTTTAGAAAAAATATATTAATTTCAAAGCATACTTCGTGTGCAATAATCCGTAACCTCATGTTATTGTATAAATATAAACTCTTAATATTAAAATTTTATATGAAAAATAGTCGTTAAAATTTAAGTATCACTTTATGTTGCATTGCAGTATACAGTACTTTACAATAAAAATAAAAAGCATTAAATAAATAATTCAATTGTTATTTTAATAATATTCAAACGAATAAGTTCACATATACAAAAACTGAATATTATATTAAACGCTTATTATTATTGAAATGATTGCATGAATATCTTATTTGATATGGATTTAAATTTTAAATTAATAAAAATGTCATGAACCTCCAATGACTTTACTGTAGAAAAATTCTTTTGAATCTACCTTAATATTCAACACGACAATTATAAATAGAAATTTTTATNAATTGCAATGAGTTTTGTAAACAAATATTTGTATTATAAAAATTTCTATTTATAATTGTCGTGTTGAATATTAAGGTAGATTCAAAAGAATTTTTCTACAGTAAAGTCATTGGAGGTTCATGACATTTTTATTAATTTAAAATTTAAATCCATATCAAATAAGATATTCATGCAATCATTTCAATAATAATAAGCGTTTAATATAATATTCAGTTTTTGTATATGTGAACTTATTCGTTTGAATATTATTAAAATAACAATTGAATTATTTATTTAATGCTTTTTATTTTTATTGTAAAGTACTGTATACTGCAATGCAACATAAAGTGATACTTAAATTTTAACGACTATTTTTCATATAAAATTTTAATATTAAGAGTTTATATTTATACAATAACATGAGGTTACGGATTATTGCACACGAAGTATGCTTTGAAATTAATATATTTTTTCTAAAATCTAAATTAATAAAAAAAATTCTCTTAAAGTGGAGCCCATTATCAACACTAGAGTCAACTTCTGGTGGATATGTCGTGAAGGGAGTGATGGGAGAGTTACTGAAGGCAGTCTTCAATCACAGGAATATATCGTATAATGTAATGAAAAGTGAACTCAATTTCGGGACTCCATTGGCCAACAAGTCGTGGACAGGTATGAGTGGTATCGTACAGAGAGATGAAGCCGACATTATGTTAGGGCCGCCGCTAATGAATGCCCAACGCATGGAAATAATGGATTTCTCAGTGCCCCTAATGTTAGACAAGATAAGCATTTTGAGTCGCTTCACAAAAACAAATCCTACTTTCGATTACTTAAGAGGATTTGATTCATACGTTTGGAGTTTTCTTTTTATCACATGTTTGCTCTCAATTGCATTATTTCTATTAAGAGACTGGCTGTTGCTTAATAATATTAGTTTCCAGTTAATAAACAAATATATTCATTATTATATGCAACTTATATTTTCCAAAAGTGAGTGCATTTTCGTCAATAATTTTTTATCATAAAAAATTTATATAATTCTAGGTTCAGCAAAAGTGGCCGTATTTCCAACGAATCGTTTATTATCGGGATTTTTGTCAATTACTATCGTATTTCTGACAATTAGTGCCAATACTATGCTTAGCGTCGATTTAGTCATTAATAGTAATAAACATTTAATCAATACTTTGGAAGATTTGCTGCGAGAAAGTCAATGCATTCCCGTCTCCATTAAGCATACAATCAGTGGATTTTTATTCTTGGTTAGTTTAAACATTGTATTTTTTTGAAATTAAATTATCATGATAAAGTTTGTGCTATATTTGACTTTAAAACTAAAGTCTGCGGCAAAGAGTAATGGCTCGGAAATCAATGAATTTGAAAGACTCATCGGAAAGAAAATGATTCAAATCTTTGAGAACGAGAGCGTCAATGAAGATTACATTAAGAGATTGAATGCCAAAGAGTTGGCTTACGTTACGTCTGAGAGCCGACTAATTATGATATCAATGAATATATGCAAAAGAAGCGCACAAACGGAGCTCTATATGGCCAATGAGAAGATCCATTTGATGCCTCGAGCCCTCGCACTCAACAAGAATCTCAACCAAACCATTAAGAGTGATATAAATGCAGGCATCTTCAGGATTCAAGGCTCGGGTTTATTTCATTTATGGATCACTCGAGCCATTAATAACACACTATTAAAGTGCATTAAAACCGAAGAAAGTCTAATGAAAAATAACGAAGAAATTATGATTACTTTAAATTTATTGTTGAAACTCTTTAAAGTAATGTTAAGCTTGTTTAATATTTCACTTTTAATCCTATTAATAGAGCTAGGCATAAGTAATAAAACAAAATTGAAACACAAAATATATTATTTAAGAAATCTATGTAAAAATGTAAAAATTATTATTTTTAAGTCGGCTAAGAATCTTAAATTTAAAATTTTGAACAAAATTAAAGCTATTATGTCTACATTATGCAAATAGATGCGCACATATTTTAAATAATTAATCAGTTTAATAAGCTCATTTTAATTTAATAATGTCAGACGTTGCTGATTAAACCTAATTTGTAAAATTTGTAATTAAGTAAAACTTGAACTTAGAATTGAATTCATTATTTAAATGATCAGAATCGGCATATATTAATGTATTACAGAATATTTTATTTAATATAATTAAATAAATAAATAAGATTAAATCTAATTTAAATAGTAAGTTATTTGTAAATTATAACAAATACTGAGAATATAGTAAACGTCATATTCTCGGTGATAACTGGCCAGGTATGTGCTGCCATCATATCATTAAAATCACGAGTAATTTAAACGACTGTATTCTTCAAGAATCTTGTAATCAATAAACTGTTTGCATTCACTGCAAGTAAAAGGCGCCGTTTCTTGGATAGCAAATGGTTTTGGATTAGTATTTAGTAATTTACCTGTTCAACAGTTTATACAAACAGTTAATTCAGTTAGTTCAACAGGTAGATTTATCCAACACAATTATTTTATTTTAATTTTATATTTCATTAGTTATGGTAAATACTCACATTTATTGTCAATCACTAATTGAATCACTACATTTTAAATTAGTTATTTTAATAAAATGTTTAATTATTAAAATTAGTCTTTCTATATTATAGAGACAATTTGTCGTTAAATTAATAGACATCTCATTTAGTTAGCAATTTGTTTAATTTATAAAATGAGAAACATTTAAAGGATAAATCTGATGATTTAAAAGTAATATGAATACTAATAATAATAAAATTAGGCAAAACAGTCTATAATTATAAAACCAAAGTTAATTTTATATAGACATTTTATTGTGTGATTTAATTACCTATTCAATAAATGCACTTAAATGATTTCCGTGACACAATTCATAAGTAAATAGCAATTAATTTCTCAAGTGCTTACTATAAATGTCTAAAACTATTATGATTTTCCTTTAACATGTTTTCTGGGATTTATAAATATAAATATATTTAAATAAAAAACTAATTTATTATAAATTTGTTTAATTGTGAGAATTAATTGTCGCTAAAATGAAAAAATATTTTTTGACACTTTCATTATTTGGTTAGTGTTGTATAATGTATACTGAAACAATATTAATTTATTAATTAAACATTTTTGATCTCAATATAAATGAAGTAAACGTATGTTTGGCTGCAAAAAGTAAGTGTAATATGACTATAGAGGAGGCGGACGTCTGTGCAAAGAAACTCATGTTTATCGGCGATAGGGATAACATTATTCCCACTAATGACCAACAAATGCAAACCTATTGCAGGTATTTATTTAATGAATTTATTGTTTTAATATACCGAAGCCATTGATAGGCCTTATGTACAAATGTGACAAATATTTTGAAAATTTATTTTTCTATTAAATTACCAAAATATAGTGTATTGTTTGTTACTACATTGAAGTATATTTCGTAGCAAATATATTTTTATTCAATAATATAGATGTAAATTCATTTCTTTTAAACAGTATTTAGTTTCTCAGAACTTGTGATTATTGAGGACTGAGACGACCAGTGAATGCACTGTTGGGGTCATTACACAAGAAAACTAATGTTCCTTTATATTTGATTAGTGACTATAGGAATGCCAAGTGAAAGCACCATGGTCATTCCTATGTCAGTGAGAACTTATTTCTCGTTTCATTTCTATAGAAAGTGAAAATACAAACGAAAATATTTTGTTTCCACAGAATGTTTGATAAGAACTCTATTTTTATTGAATCAATATTTTCTAAGAGTTAGAAATCTTTCACTTTTTTATTCTTTGTTTCTCTTTGTCTAGAAATCTAAGGATTCCATAGAAATCAAATACTTTAATGTTTTTTAATTGTGTTTAAATAGATTTATAATATCATTGCTTTAGATTAACCGGGTGTTCAGAGTTTGTGAAATGTGTGCTCAACATTTTTATAACCAGATTTAAAACAAATATTAATAAATTTAGTAAAAATCAATTTCTAATTCATACATTACCTATACACAATAACGAAAATATAACATTATTTGTTTAGATTTAATTACTTTTACTCTACTAAAAGTACATTCTTTAGCATTTAGTCTGAATTACACAACCAATTTTGATAATAGTAGTGAAATATGATTATGCTGTCTGTCTGCTTGCTCAATTATATTTGTCTGCTATTAATACAAACCATTCACCTCTAGTCGTATGCAAGAGGGCATCCGATGTATCCGACACTACGCCCGTTCATGTCTGCCTCCATTCCCGCAACAGGTGTTTGGAATGTTTGCCTACGACTCCAAGACTGTACTCAGAAAACAATGCAAATTACCAAACGATAGATCAGGTCTTATATCATTTATCACTTTCCCTATGTATCACTTATATCACATGTAGTTTTAATTTTAGTTATATTTTTATTTAGTGCCATACAGTATACGTAGACTTAATTTTATATTATTTACACTATTTAGTTTTATTAAATAATTTTCAAACAATGTTTTGCATGTAAATAATATTCAATTTGCAATGCTTATAAATCATTTTGAAAACACTATTTTAATCTCGCAATCAATCATTTGTTAGTTTTAATTAAAATGTTGACGCGATCTCTGCTATAAGTATTAAATTTGAATTATGATTGTGATTACGATTAACCAAATGTAGAGTTCGTACGACACGTATCATGTTTTCTACCGAAGCCAGCGATGGAACCGTTGCACCTCTGTATGGATCAGTTCATTATCTCACTGAATGTCGTTAAATCGATGGACCCTGATATTAAAATTCCTGGCGTCTGCTGTGTATTTCATTTGTATCAGCAGTGCCTTCAGAATAGTATTCAATCTCTTTGCGAAAGTAAAACTGGTATTGAAACTGTTGACTACATGATGAACATGATCAATTCCATGGCAAGTATTTATATCAAATACTAATGCTATTTTTAGTTCAATATTTTTTGCAGAATTTACTGTAAACAAAATTTTTGTTATTTAATTTGTCCACTCTAATTTCACGGTATTTGGAAATTAAGGATTAATTTTATAATATTCTATTTAAAGTTTTTTAAATGACAAATATTTTATATTTAATTTAATTTTTTATTTTTTCAATTTTACTCGATACAATATTATAACACAAAATAACTATAATGATTTTATTGCATATTTCATTGCTAACAAATATGACAAGAATTTTAAAATAATTTTTCATTATTATGTGTAGGCTTATAATATATTATATTGTTAAGCATAGTATAAAAATTAGACAAAATTGTTACAAAATAGGTGTGCCATTAATAACACATATCATTTGTCGTGGTTTTAATTAAATAATAAACTCATTTTCAAAGACTAACGACGTGTTGGACTTCACGTGCGGAAGGTATGAAAGTGTGGAGAAATGTGACAAATATATGGACGCAAACGCGTGGAGTCAACTGAAAGACAACAAAAGTGCGGAACAATTGGTGACTGAAAGAGCTCTACAGAAATACTTTTCGCCCATTCCTTCACTGGTGGCCGTCATCACCAATTATGAGATGCGATGAGCGTATGGCTATTTGCTGTCAATTCACATTTATGATCAATAAAAGCATAAATAAACATGTTTTTTGTTTTCATTTCAATATGTTTTCATTTGTTTATGAAAAATTTCTATTTGCAAATGCTCCTTTTATTTAATAATTTAGATGCTTATTTGATATTTAAGGATTTGTTGAATAAACATGAAATAGATTTATTTTTATTTCCTGATATCAATGGAAAGAAAACTTTCAAACAGTCAACACTCAAATAAGCCGTTTGCCATTGAATTGAACTTTATAAATATTATATTACATGGTTATATGTAATATATATGTAATATATATGTAATATATATTGAATGAGTACAGCTTCTATTAAATAGAGATCTCTCAAAATATATAAATGTCAAAATATGTCAAAATAAGCTAAGCACATTATTTTATTTTGACTATCAAATTAATTCAAATTATTGTGATTTAATTTTGAGACTTGAAAATAACATATAATTTGAACATTGACTTACATAGTATATTAAACTTTATCAATACCAAAGTATCTAAATGCATTCATATTATATAATTTAGTATTATAAATAAATAAAGCCTTAGTTTTATTAATAAAATTTGTTTCTACGGATGCCTTTAATTATTAATTAAAAATAAATTATTAAAATAATTTAATTAACTTCTCATAAATTGGTTTCATTTAATAAATATATAAGTTGTATACTAAATATAATACTGTAACTGTATAATATACATATTATGTTCATTAAATTCAAATCTAGTACTCCTACACCCATTAGATTTATATATTTTAATCAACATAGAAATGTAAGAATTCACTTAAAATCTTTCCATTACTTAATGGTAACTTCAGTTTATTAGTTGTTTATTGACATCATATACAGAACTGTATACTTTTTAAATCTATAAATGACTTTTCTGTTATATAAGTGATATTTAATTATACAATTAAATCTCAATTTACTTATACTACTAGTCTTAAGAGTTGTTATTTGTACTCTACAATATATAATAGTACATTTGTATGGATACACTTGTATGAGATACTTAAACATAACTTACTGTACGAACAGTATATCTCTCAAATCTATCAAAACTAAATTCTCAAGACCAATCCAAATACAAATAAGGGTATCACAAAATTATTGTTATTTCGTTGAAAATCAAATTCGCATTCATTGTAAGTGAAGCAAAAATTAAATTTATGAAAAGATTTTCTACTTAAGAAAAATCAATGTATTGAAGAATGGCATCACAATAAGCTTACGATAGGCTACATGTGAATAAACATTACAAAAAAGTTTTCAAATATATTTATTTTAATTGTTCAATCATTTAAATAAATTCTATAATAAGTACACAAAATAAAGTATTTATTTTACACTAAATTAGCTTTAGTATAATACACGTAATAAATAATTAAATATACGGTATGTTAGATAATATATTGAATAAAATCCCTCTAAACATGACTGTAAAGACTGTAAAGATTTTAAATATAAATCTCTGGGTCTTTGATCTGATAGTTGTAGCGAAGATTACATTACAATTGGGATAAACTATTTCTACACAAAACAGATTTTATAATTGAAGACGAATTCTGGGAATAACTAACGGATCGTCGATAAGAGAGACAGTGTTTGAGACTCATTGACGTGTCTTCGGTTTGGGAACTGATTTTGGTTTCGTATAAGTTATAAAAGCCGTTCATTTCGTTGTCGGCCACTCCTCTCATGGTATCGGCGTTTCGGTGACAAAGAAATTCTTTGACAGACTTTATTAGGTTTTTGTTGAAAAACAAACAAATGTATGGATTTATAGAACTATTAAGACTCGACAACAGCATTAGTATTGTTATTATTGAACCTAAAAGCAAATAGAAATGGTTTATATGTTTTTAGTCGCGATTTTAAAAAACTATGATTTTGTTTCGTGCATTCAATTCACTTGTTTTCAAAAGCATTAACACTAAAAACTCATACATTATTAAATAAAAGAGATTTAATTTTATTCAATCTTCAACATGTTTTTAAGAGAAATGTATAAATAATTTATATTGAATAGTGTTTTCGTGTTTAATAAATAAACACACGGTAGTGCATAATTGTAATATATTTAATCGACGGACATTAACTCTACCAGCACTAAACATATTACATTACTTTCAAAATACGATACATTTACAGTAACTAATAAGGTTTGATCTAGTTTATATAAACAAAGGATCGTATTTGTTAGGAAAAAGTATTTTCTTATTTCAACAAAAATTAAAGTATAGATAAAAATATTCGTATATTTGTAATAGCATTCAAGGTAAAATTATGTTGAATTTATTACAGAAAATTGATGTAATTCTTAATCAATTAACTTGATAGCATTTTTATAAAACTAGAAACAATATATTAGTGCTAAACATAGGAAATGGTGAAGTTCAATAAAATAAAAATATTAAAATAAATAGCACTCTATAAATATTATATTATCTATTTATACATTTTATAACATTAATCTAAATGACTCGATTTATGTCATTTAATCAATTATAGAAAATATAAATTATTTAGTTGTCAAAATAATATAACAGTGACTTATAACATTTACTTAAATGTTTGTATATTATGGATTATTAGTATTAATAAACGGTACTTAACTTATATAATTATATAAAAATTATTTGTTTATCTAGCTATTAGTTATAGTTTGTTTTATAAAAATTGTGTTGTAATCTGTACTTAAAATGTTTTTAAAAATACTTTATATGTCATGTCATAGTGGGTATATACAAGGTTTCAGGTTCAGACAGGTTCTCCCGTGTGACTGGATTAGACTGTATTATATAATATTTAAGTGGTTAATGCAAAGTGATAGTAATATGAATGTGATATCACTTTTGCTGGTTGTCCTCATGACCTATTCAAATGTCAATAAAACTGACCCCACTCAGCCTGGTCATAATATTCATTGCAATCCCAAATGGCTTTCTATATATCGGTATATCAAAGACAAACTGTAGCTCACATATACCTATACTTTAATTTACTAACTATTAATAAAAGCAATAAACGCTATAAAGAAAGCTATTATACAAGAACTAAACTATATGTCTAACAAAGTAAGATAACTAAAGGATATTTATGAAGTAAATGTAAAAAATTAAATTTAAATTATTTAATTGAATGTCAAATACTAAAAGCTCTTTCTTCTAAGTAATGAAATGCTTTTCATACAAAAAGAGAGTAAATATTAAAAGCAATTTTATTTTCATCTTAAATGTTAATCTTATTATTAAATGTTTGACAAATAAATAAGTTTTATAAAAATTTATAAGATTGTTTAAAACGAAATGAATGGAAAAATATTTTAAGGTCATAATTATTCTCTCAATGTTTGATATAATTAAAGAATTATTAATTCTCTATATTCAGTGTGTATTTACATATACTTCATAGATATACAGTACTTCTATTCACGTGTCATATGTTTGAAAAGTCATTGATTTTTTCCATAAAAACTTTATATATAGCGCTACAAAAGCCTTGATATTGAATAACGGTATCCGATATAAATTTTGCAGTAAACATTTAATTAAAATATTGTAACTTATAATAATAATAATAAATTAAAAATCATATCATTTTAAAGCTTTGTTTTCAGACAGTAAAACAAATAAGAAATGATTTCAATTGAATTTGTAATCAATAAATAATGACTGATAAACGAGAGGTAGTCCTCAACCCCGTTTTGCTATCAATGCAAAACCCATTATAGAAATGTATGTGTTTTAGAGTTTTGACAAAACGCACTCTCCTTGCAATGCTATTCAATGGGAAACTCTCGCAAACCCCTTATCAGGACTACCTCTCTTTAACAGTCATAATTTATTTATAACAAATTCAATTGAAATAATTTCTTTTTTAATTTACTGTCTCAAAACAAAGCTTTAGAATGATATGATTTTTAATTTATTATTATTATTATAAGTTACAATATTTTAATTAAATGTTTACTGCAAAATTTATATCGGATACCGTTATAAAGGAATCTATTCTTTAAAATAGAGAATATTTATTATAAGAATATTCTGTTTATCTTAAGTTATGATTTGCGTGTCTTCTCAACTCAATAATCATTTTTTAAATAAAATATTTTTGAATAAATTAATGTTGAATTAAAATATCATTAATATTAATATTTGTAAATATGATACCGTACATACGAAATGTTGCAACTAAAATATAAAGTCTAAATAAACTTTATTTGCTAAAATAAATATCTATTGTATATTCTATGAATGGATAATTGTATAGCAAATACTAAAAGATATTTACTTATATTTACGGTTATAATTGGGGAATAGAAAAGTTACAATCAATAAAATATCTTATGGTAATAAATTACTAATAATGTACAAACTTATTAATAAATAAGTGGAAAACTTACTCGTATTTAAAATATGTTGCGTTTGTGGGAACCAATGAACCCATAATTGGACCATGATGAAAGGTGTTGAGCACATGATATAACACAGCATTATAACGACCGTTATTTTGACGGTTTTTATTTTGGCTCTCGAGACAAATCTCAACGAATGAGTTCTCGGCGTAGAGTTAACACCATTGCCGCCGACCAGCGATATGTTAGGCAAAGAGTTGCGAGACTTTCGTACTTCAGTCTGTCTTTTGGCGGCTTTTGATTGTCTCATTGAATATGTCATTCGTTTGCCTAATGAGTGGTTATCTGTCGACGAGTTTATAAAACAGGTGTTAACTGAATGTCCATTACTTTTGCAGTTCAGACGAATCGAGTTTTGATTTTCTTCAATGCTTTCGCGCTTTCGGTGAAAGTTATTAAATATTTTACGACATATGCAGATATGTGTCACCAAAATGATAATAAATGGGATAAAAAATACGGTGATTGCATACCACGTCACGTATATGCGCTCCCAGTGATCGGTAAATGTTGCCCAACAGTCGTATACATTTGGCATATTAGGGATTTGTTGGTAAGAAAATATGTAGAGTTGTGGACAGCATAGGATGAGTGATAGCATCCAGGCCATTATTATCATTAATTGCGAGCGCCGTTGAGTCCACGAACAGTTCCGCAATGGATGACATATGGCTTGATATCTGTCTATAGCTGTGATCACCAGAATATATGACGAGAGATAGGGGCCCAGAATCTGTAGGTACTTGACTACCTTGCACAGTATGTTTCCGCCGTAGAATCGGTATGTTATATCCCAGGCCAGTTGGGGCAAGACTACATAAATTGAATTGAATTTAAATAATAATTACTGTACTATGTGATACAAACGTATAAAAAATGAACCAGTACCATTGAAAAAGCCACACATCAAGTCTCCAATGCACAAGTGATGGAAGTAGTAATACATTCGATTCATCTTCTGTTTTCTCACCACTAATGCCATCAAAACAAATGAATTGCCGAATAATATCGAGACAAACATTAGCGTCAGTATTGAGATCTCAATTATGGCCAGAATCTCGTCCCGCGTGTCATAGATATCGATAGAGTTGTTAAATATGTCGACACGTTTTGATTCATTCAGCAACAGATGATAATCCGAGTCTCGGCTGAGATTAAAGTCTAACTGTAAATATTTCTCCATTTAGTAAAGCTTTTCATAAAGACGTGAAGTTTTTTCAAGTAACAACTGCTTGAAAGATGTAGGTCTGGAAAGTGTGCTAATGTCTGAGCCCTGTATCGCATGTATTGTGATGAGAGAGGAGAGAGAGAGAGATGCGATGCACAGCACATGGCTTTAGAGCAGACCTCCAATACATATACCATATCTCCACGCATTCATACGATTCAATCATCACTACTATTGTCTAATAATGTCTTTTCAATGCGAACTCTATTCTTGTGATCATATGATAGCTTTATTTATGCCATAATATCGCATATAAGTACTTTATATGGGTTTTATATTAAAATATATATGTATAATAATAAATCAAATACTAGTATTAAACGCGCAAAGTGATGTAATTATAATATATCCATTATTTTTATAATCATTAAATTTAAAGCTCTATTTATTTTAAACTTTATCTCCATTTCATTTAATGTTAAATCGATTGCTTTTCATAAATTTCAAAATTTATGGCTATTATTGTTTAATATAGACTTTTTTAAGACTGTAGGATCAATCGCAGTAATATTAATTTTAAGTATAAATCTATAAAAAACACTATTCTGACAAAATTAATATGAATTTTGTGTTGAAATATTTTATTTTTAAATGATAAATCAAATGATTAGAAATTAAAGAAATCAATTATTTACACTAAGAGAATGCAAAACAAGCAAAACATAAGTAAACGAAAGATACACTAATAAAATGAATTCATTATATTCCCAGAATTATTCTGTTAATGCTTTAAATATTTGTTTATTAAATCAATTACCTTATTTCAAAAGGTTTTGTTTGAATAAACATTTATTTTAAAAGTCTGCACTCGTGGAAAAAACACCTTTTTATTGATTAAAAAATTTTAATCACTATCACCTTAATTTTTGCACGCTACTAATCTATGATTTTAAATTCAATTTTAATTTATATTGCAAACCAAATAATAAATAGCATTATATAAGATTTTTATGCTTTATTATTTTCAGGAAATAATTGAATTTACTAATATATATGTAGAAGAATTGAAAAATAATTAAATTCCAGACATTTAACAGAAATGTATTATGAATGCACTTATTCTCTGCTCAATTCAAAAGCATTGAAAAGTTTTGATCCCTTTTATCTCAAATTCAAAGAAAGGAATTTTGGGTTTTTAATTACTTCATGTATTTTATAAAATTTTAGTGAATTAGTTTTGATAAAAGCATTGTTTTTATTAAACTTTAAAATAACAATTTCCATGAATTTCTTTTAAAATAATTGTATATTCATATACTTTTTAGAAATTTTCAAATTCAATTTAAAGTTATTTTGAAATATTAATTGACTTATTGTCAGTTTAGTTGTCAAACATAATTATATAGTTTGTATGGAATTGCTGGTTGTTTATGAAGTTGGCAGTGAAGTAATTATATTATATTCCTGTAGTATTGGGTCATATTTTCATTTCTTTTTATATATTCGTGTAATGAATGTCTGATTGCTTTTCACTTCAATTGTTTAGTTTTCATTAATCCGTAGATTTCTTCCTTAATTACTATCAAAGATGTGCTGAACATCGGCTCGTATTACAAGTAATCAACGTTTGCCTCCTTTTCTCCAGAACTCACTTCAATTTATTATACACTACTCTATACCAACATATCATATCATACTTTGTATACATTATATTTTCTACTTTGTGTTCAATCTCTACACATTTTGTAATTAAATTGAATTGATTTTTGCATTAAATTCTTATAAGACTTATCAAGTAATTGTAACATAATTATCCGATATATTAAACATTTTGGAGTTAATGAACCATTTTATGAAAACAGACACTCTAATTGATAAACTTTAACAATCTGATACCAATTAATGGTTTTATAAATTACTGTATGTATTATATAATAATAAAATTATAGGTATTTGATATTAAATCTATATTTTAATATATTTTGATATTTTTATTACTTTCAGTAATATTCAGTTATTAGAATATAAATATTTGATATTCTCACTGTTACTGTTAAAATAAATGATTAATGTCATTGTTAATACAGTATAAAGTGAGTTTAAACTTAAAATGAATTCTTATCTTCATAACTATATTAATATAACAAACAAAACAAATAAAACACATGTCATAAGAATTCAATATAAACTTCAATACAAATAATCAGATTCTTGCACTCAAATACTGAATTAAACAATTGTCACTAACATTATAAAGCATATAATTTATAAATACTTAATAACCTTTTTGAAAACTGAAAGTGAACTTTATGAATAAATGAACAAGTGAAATAAAGTAAATAAAATAAATTTATAAAAATAGTGAATCCTGTTTTATTGAAAGCTAATGTAAAAGCAAACAATAATTCTGTAATTCTGTGACATTATTCTGCATTCAATGAAGTGTATGGCGAAAGTACTGCACATACAGTGCCCTCTAGTATGCATTCACACGAGTATTACATAAATAAATATAATTTAACTTTCATTTGGTCTCTAATTTGACGTCTGTTTTGAGTATTCAATAGTTTTGTCATTCATTTCAATGTAATTAAAATCCATTGAATTAAAGGACAACCAAATCGTGAG